CCCTTAGCCCGCTTTTGGAAGTGAACACCACCCAAACGAGTAGCTGGGGCGCCGCAGCAGTGGTAAACCACGTGCGTGGACCTTGCCGAACATACGGCAAGGAACTTCGTGCTGTTGACTCCTCGTTGTGCTCGCAGCACTATAACCTAGTAGTTGTAATTTATCCTGTAGATAATGTACCAGGAGGAGCTACTGAGCTTTGGGACACCCCATTGACAGTAGGAGACAGTCTGAAAAGCTACAGTTCTCTCAGCGTGATTTTTGATCCCAGTAAGGCTTCTACTGGGCCACATTTAGTGCCTCGACCCCCCCACTTTAAAGGAATTGTGTACATGAGGTTCTATGCGCTCTTGCGCATTCAGCGCGTATGTTAGAGGCAGTATAACCCTCGGTGTAGGGTAGAGGAACCGTTGAAGAGGTCGAGACTATATACGTGCCGAGGTCCGGCAGATGCCAACCATGTGCATCTGCCGTTTTGGGCGGAGAATCCTGCCTTTTTGAGCACGCGCGAGAGCCTGGGGGGGACTTCTGCGACGCTGATACTAAACGGGTACAAGCCTCCATTAAAGACAGTTGCTCGTCTACTAAGTCTTTTTTAAGAGGCGCAGGATCAAGCCTACTCTACGGAGGACGAGACAGTTATGCCACCTACTGTCCAGGGAATGAGGTTGTTTTCGTCGTGTGCTAAGCCTGGTCTCTCACGCTGCTCGATGACTTGTTCCTCACAGTACTGCTCCTACGAAGGCTTTCAAGTGCTCCAAAGAAAACATGTCTCTACATTTATTGAGGCCTTAGGGATGTGTTTTACGAGCACCGACTCGAATGTACTGTCGAGGACACGGAATGTGGCCAAATGTGGCCTTTCGGTTATTGACAATGTTAATTACATGTTAATAACTACAATTTTTGTTAATAACGTTGATAACGCTGTCGAGCGGAGAGTAATTCACCGAGCTCTAATCAGGCTCGTTAGACGTTTGTAAGCGTGGGAGCCGCGTTGAGTTCGATTCACGATCTGTGATTGGCTCCTGCACCCTTCAATACACGATGTTTGTAGTCCAACAACAGAATTTTACTTATCATCACTACAAATTTCGAGGTAATACCCACTACAAATGTTTGTAGTCAATTAGCCGAGCTTGTAGCTTGCCAGACTTATCAGGCGCCATACATACTAGTAGGCGATTAGGGCTTCGGGCTTTTCCTGATAACATGCAAGACATTTAATAATACAAGGCGGACCCTCTCTCGTCTCTCAGGTAGCCAGCCCGGGCAGGACTTAACAGAGGTAAGCATCGAGCGACCTTCATTTGTTAGGCAAACTCCTCGGCATCCTTCTCCGAGTCAGAAGCTGTCTGCGGAGGGCGTTCCCCTCGCAGCTCCTTGATCTCATGTTCGACCCGCTTCTCCTGTTCCTGCTGCATCTGGTCACCTTCATATACTGGTGGCAACACAACGTGAGCGCTAGACGATGGCGAGAGGTGCATAGGGCGCTGGCAAACGTACAGAACGCGAGTTCTTCCAGAGAGCGATTTGCAGTCTCAGGAAATAGGAAATACACGAATATGACTTCGAAGAGGAGGAAGACGCAGTAACTACGAGACGTGAGACCTCGGCTGCATGACAGATAAGAAACAACGCAAACCTGATGTAGTATTTCCAACCTTCTCAGCCAATGAGTCACGAGAAAATGGAGGTGCTGTGGAAAGACGCACCTGCGTTCGCGATACCTATGGGATTCACGAACTGGTTGAAGAAAGTCGCCACTCGGCCCCACCATTGGAAGACGGTGAGTCCCTTAGAACGGACATGATACGGGAAGAGCTCAACCAAGAACGCTAGAAAGGCACGTCTCAGTTCTGAAGGAACTCGTCGGCCAATGATATCACGCACTATACGAGAGAGCGTTATAGCCAATGTTGTAAGCCGGGCTATACAGAAAGATGAACCTGTAGGCCGACGAGTTATGGAGAACGGAACCAACGATGTGAAGTGGTCTTCAGTACTCACACTATCACGGCGGTGGACGAGACCTTATCACCAGTCATGGCGTATCTGGCACTCGCAATCGTCCATCCGGTGAAGATCGAGAGCAAAGATATGGTGCATATCTTCGAAGACGTTTGAGTAACAATTCGAGCCACTGGTGTTTGTCGAATCATACCATATAGCTCACCCGGCGTTTGAACCGGGGCATCGTAAGAGCGATGAGGGTGCTGTTGACGAAGCTCCAAGCCGTCTGACCCAAGTTGATGAGGTTCTTCGTCCGATTGTCCGTGATGCCGACGTTATTCAATATCTGCGCCAGGAAATATCTGCAGCACAATCCTGGTATCAGAATACCTAGGATATAAGCGCATCAATGAGACACTGAACGAAGTGAGGCCATTCCCGCTCCACTGCGTCGCGAGGCCCAAGAACGACGCGACCAGCACGCGTCGCCGCATCCCGCTCGTCGCGACCATCTCCAGCCAGCTGCGCTTCGCCACCTCCATCTCGAGCTCCAGCGTCTTCTCGATCTCCGCAAACTCGGCCTTCACAAACTCTGAGTGGACGTCCCCCTCAGCGTGGTACTTAGTCAGTATTGCCAGGGCCTCCGCACTCCGGCCCTTCGATACCAGCCATCGTGGCGACTCCGGGAGGAAATACATGAATACAATTTGCAGGATGCTAGGGATGGTCTGGAGAACGGAGGGGATGCGCCAGCCCCAGTTGGTCTGCATTGCGAATGTTCCCAAAGTGACCCCTGCAGCGACAATGGCGCCTAGCGACCGCGCCCCCTGAGCATATTCCTTACGAGAGCCTGAAAGCTTGGCTTACCTATAGACCAGCATGAATTGAAAAGCGAACTGATAATCGCTCTTTCCTTCGGATGGGACAGCTCTGGGCGCAGCATGCGCTGATGTCTGAAATACCTCTGCATAATGCTCACCATTTACCAGAGACGAAGCGGCCACGATAGCGAAGGGTATCCCGAACCCCAGAACAAAGCGAGAGATGACGAACATGGCGACTGCAAACCAGGTCAGATCAGTCTATAAGCCTCACTTCATTCCTACAATTTTGGGAGGCAGTCTGCAATATAGCGCCGATGAGCATAAACACGCTGCCAAACACGATAGACCGTCTTCTGCCCAATCTATCGCTGATGGTAGGGGTGAACGGAAGTGCCGCCACTGCACCAAGGGAGTACAGGGCGGACATGAGCCCAAGCATGGTAGACCGCGGATGGTTATAAACTGTGCAAAGGCGTTTGAGCTATAATGAGCTCTGACGCTGCATTAGACTTACAGTTATTCCATGTGCCGACTGCTTGCAAACCATTCATCATGGACGAGTCGAAGCTTGGAGCGATTTTACACAGGTAAGCAACTTCGAAGGAGGATATACATACCCGCTGGTCATTTCGACGCCTAGACATGTCGGAAACAAAACGAAATATAGCCGCCTCAGGTTCGGTTTCTCGTACCACGGCACCTTGTCTTGCTTGGCCAAACGGGTGACCAGAGGGACGGCCGAACCATCGTTCACTTTCATTTCATGAAGCATGCTTTCCGTCAGGAAGGGCATAGAGTGGGCAAACGGGATCCCTCCCAGGTTATGTTGAATATATAAAGCGGGTCTTTGCCTTCCGGAACCGCATACATAAGTAGAACAACATTCCAAGTGCCACTTATCCCATGAATACCCCAGATAGCCAACCTTGAAGGCCCTCGTGAGCAAGGCACCGTTTCACGAGATCCTTCAAGGTTACTTAGAAAAAGTCACGGGGCTTGGTAAATATTGTGGTGGAGTAGATGCGACCTATTCCTGATTCAAGGAGGCAGTAAAGTTCAGGAACAGAAGGCAGACCATGCGAGGTAGCGGCAGAGGCAAGCACGCACAGCACAGACGAACACGACGCCTACATCGCATCGGAATGCCGAGCAGCAGATGCTTTTAAAGCGGAAGAGGCGCCGGGGTCTCTTGACCATCGCACGAGCCTACACGGAGAAAGCCCGGACAGAGAACATAATGCGGGTGACCTTGAGCTAGTCAGAGCCTGAAGACAGAAAGTAGAGCCCTTCAAGCGTTGCCGTGAGGTAGACAGGAGGGCCTGGGCTAATTTGAACAACATTCTCTTGTGACCGGTCGGCGTCGGGGGCGCTGGTCGCACAAACCTTTTGCTTCCGCATTACGGCGAGCTAGGAGCACGTCCTACATGCTGAGCGCTCGCAGTTCCTCTGGCGCGTACATTTCTTCCGTACCCCTTCGACTTACCCCAAGTATCAAATACCATAAGAGCGGAATGGCGCCACCGAGCTCTAAAATAACACCCCAAGTAGAAGAGCATGACGTCCCGAACGACCTTCACATGAGGGCCTTCGCGTCGTTTTCGCCGTCCGACGGCGTATCTGAGTGTCCCTCGGCCCGCACATCGTTGATCTCATGTTCAACCCGTTTCTCCTGCTCCAGCCGCATCTGATCGCCCTCATATACTACAAAGGCAAGCAGCCAGTCAATCAATACAGGGCAACTTGAAGACAAAGATCCAAGAGACGCACGGAACGCAAGCTCCTCCAAGGACCGGTTGGCAGTTTCCGGGAACAGGAAGTACACGAATATTACTTCGAAAACAAGCCAGACGCAGTAACTGCAGTCCACAGCTTGAGACTCACTCATTTGGTCATGGATGCACGAAAGACAGACCTGATGTAATACTTCCATCCTTGATGCATCAATGGACTGTCAGCAACAAGGGCCACAAGCTGCCTAGACTCTTGCTGTGGGACGTACCGGCGTTCGCGACACCGATGGGGTTGACAAACTGGTTGAAGAACGTCGCCACCCGGCTCCACCACTGGAATATCGTGAGTCCCTTCGAGCGGACGTGGTACGGGAACAACTCGACGAGGAATGCTGAAGGGTGTGGGTGTTACGTGCTGACCACTTGGCAATGCAAAATATCACTCACTGTAAGAGAGAGCGTTGTAGCCGATGTTGTAAGCAGGGCTATACAGGAAAATGAACCTGTATGTCTATGATCAGCCACAGCAGGAGTGACAATACCGCGATGCAAACAATACTTACGCAATGACGGCTGTGGATGACGCCTGGTCACTAGTCATAGCATATCTCGCACTCGCAATGGTCCAACCGGTGAATATCGAAAGGAGCGATATGGTGCATATCTACCAGAACATTCCGTCAGGCCACAGCCTCCCACACACCCCTGGGGAATATTCAGACTTACCAAATAGCTCGTGCGGCGCTTGAACCGCGGCATCGTAAGCGCGATAATGGTGCCGTTGATGAAGCTCCAGCAGGTCATCGCCAGGTTGATCAGGTTCTTGGTGCGGTTATCCGTGATGCCGACATTGTTCAATATCTGCGCGAGAAAATACCTGCACCATCATGACCACCTTCAAGTCAGTATCACACGCGCCTCCGGGACGGTAGGGAGACACCGACGAAGTCAAGCCATTCCCGCTCCACTGCGTCGCCAGCCCGAGGAACGAGCCCACGAGCAGACGCCGCCGCATGCCGGGCGTCGCGACCATCTCCATCCAGCTCCTCTTCTCCACTTCCGCCTCCATTTCCAGCGTCTTCTCAATCTCCGCAAACTCGGCCTTCACGAACTCCGAGTCCGCATCGCCCTCGGCGTGGTACTTCACCAAGATCGCGAGGGCCTCGGCGTGCCTGCCCTTGGATACGAGCCACCTTGGCGACTCGGGGAGGAAGCACATGAAGGCGATCTGCAGGATGCTGGGGATGGTCTGCAGGACGGATGGGATGCGCCAACCCCAGTTGTTCGGCATGGCGAAGGTGCCGAGTGTGACGCCCGCGGCGACGATCGCGCCTGCCCGTTCAACGTCAGGAAATGGCGGTGGGTGTTCACAGGGCCAACTTACCGATGAACCAGCACGAATTGAAGAGCGAGCTTACGATCGCCCTTTCCTTGGGATGCGATACTTCTGAGAGGGTCTCAACAAATGGGCGTGATGACCAAGCAAAGACACTCACCGTTCACGAGAGAGGATGCGGCGACGATGGCAAAGGGGATGCCGAACCCGAGGATGAAGCGCGAGATGACAAACATGGCGACTGCGCGACTGGATTAGCTTGATTCATCGCCCATCTAGTCAATAATAAATGCACACAATTCTGCGAGGCGGTTTGTAATATCGCTCCGATAAGCATGAAAACGCTGCCGAACACGATAGACCGTCTCCGGCCGAGTCTGTCGCTGATGAAGGGAGTCAAGGGGAGCGCAGCGACTGCGCCGAGCGAGTAGAGCGCGGACATGAGGCCCAGCATGGTTGATCGCGGGTGGTTGTAAACTATACGCGTAGGTTATAATCTATCCGCCGCTAGTGACTCGGACGTCAGTGACGACTTACAGTTATTCCATGTACCAACGGCCTGTAAGCCGTTCATCATTGAAGAGTCGAAACTCGAGTCGAGTTTAGAGAGAAATCCGCAGAAGGGTGGATGGAACTACTTACCCGCTCGTCATCTCGACGCCGAGACAGGTCGGCAACATGACAATGTATAATCTGCGCAGGTTTGGTTTCCTGTACCATGGCACCTTGTCTTGTTTGGCGAGACGAGTGACGAGAGGCGGTTCCACTTCGTCCTTGGTTTTCATCTGCTCGACCATAATCGCGTTCAGAGACAGGGGAGATAGGCGCGAAGGGTCCCGCCAATGTCCAGCTGCGAATTTATTTCAAGTTCCGGACCGCAAATGCACAAGCACAGAGGCGTCCTAAGAACCACTTGTCCCATGGAAACTCCAGATAGATACCCTTGAAGGCCCTCGTGAGCGAAAATATGCTTCATAAGGGACTTAAAGCTATTTATCTGGTCACGGGGATATTTGCGGACCTGCAGTAGCTGGATTCTGCTAAAGCGGCCTGCAATGACCCAGTAAACGTCTGGCACGCTGGCACGAGCTTGATGGAGCATACCGTGCTTTGGGCAAGAGAAGCCAGGCGAGTGCAAGTGAGAACGGAAGCATTTTCATCCTCGCCGATCTCGGATGAGGGCCCGCAATCTAGAATTCTGCGGAATGCGGAGCAGGAGACGTTGGTGCGGAAGAGCGCCCGGGACCTCTTGACCATTGTACCAGCCTATACGGAGAAAATCCGGGGGAGAACATGACGCGGGATGTGCTGATATGGCGGAGGTCGAGATGGCTGCAGACCTGCTCTACTACTGCATCGCAGGCCGGGTGTGGGGTTTGACTCCGACAATGCAATACGTATACAGTTGACCACTGACGGATGCCGTCACGGTATGGATTTCTGTCAACGCCAGGCTAAAGTGTATGCGAGCGCGATGCTCCGCGGGTGCCTAAGAATCAATATTCGCGAGCTAATGTGCCGAGAGTCGAGTCAGAGTAAGCACGTAGCGTTCAGACCACTGGCACTACTGCATGTCGCGGGTCGTGATATGCATTGCACTGGCAGAATACCATACCAACTGACCAACCTGGACAAGTACAAAAGGGTGAGCATGAGATCTTGATGAAATCTCTAATCCGCTCAGAACGATTCGGAATGAACCGACGTACTGACTGATGAATGTGAAGTGATAGCCTTCATCGAGCCTGACTCGGACATAAACATCACGACAATAGAAAGCGTGCGAAAAGCGAGAATGTCCTGATGATGACATGTCAATGTTTTGAGTGTGTATGGCCTCGGATGAATACAATTTACTGTAAAGAGGGTCATCTACTCAGTATTCCAAGCAACTACGCGTCGGACAGCTACATTATTCAAATTTTCAAAGTTTCTTGCATCCATAGTTCTGTTTTACATGTAACACAGATATCGCCCTTTCGCGGCTAGATAAACGATGATCTCGTACATCGCCGAGGTTGCCTTTATCGGTATCTGTACGCCACCGACCTTTGTGACGGTCCGAGTCTCTTGCCTTCCTCTTCCACCAACGCTCACTTTTACGACACGCCAGGTCGGCCGACATGTTGATCAAAGTCAAGGTCTGTGGCATTCTGCTCCTGTCGTGTCGTGTTTGCTAATGCCGCCATTTAGACATTAACGGGCAAAGAGGTATGCACGCGCCCATTGTCACAGCGGCACCCTCTGCTTTCCAACCACGCTTCATCCTGACTCGCTCGTAACAGATCGAGCTCGACATCGATCCAGATGATCAGGTGCGCACTGTTGCCCAGCGCGTCGTATCGCCCACTCACTCCCTGATCTCCCCTCTGCCACTCCGCACAGATCACCCGAATCAAAGAGAAAGTCGAGGAGCAATCCGGCGTGCCACCGCCCCAGCAGCGACTGATCTTTAGCGGGCGCCAGATGTGAGCTATCTTCCACTCCGCTGTGTCGGTATGTCTGACAACTTGAGACCAGGCCGGATGACAAGACGGCACGGGACTTTAACATCACCGCGGGCGCCGTCCTGCACTTGGTCCTCGCCCTCCGTGGGGGTCTATGAGAGCTCGGGGGGTGCAAGAGGCGGATGCAAGGCGGTGAGAAGCAGTGAAGCGCAATGTATAGGATGTATCAGCACGCTCTCGTACGTTATTAGATGTTGTCGGCTATATCATATTTTCCCTCCCACTCTGCATGAAGTGTTATGCTGAGCTGCTCGAGATATGGCGGTAAGCTTCATTCACGGATCATGAGCTGGCTGCATTTCATGTATGGTGAGTCCCTCTATATATTCCCGGTGTACATTAACTGACAAGTCCAACAGATACAATAGTCCCATGACTCAACCACAAATGAAGCACAAATACACCACCCGATGAACAAGGTTCCTCATAACGCTATTCCGTCACAGTCTCCGATCCTACAACATCCGCGCCCGGCAGCAGCCAGCGAAACGTCACACTGATCCTCACCCCCCTCTTTAGCACCTCCGCAGGCACACCCTCACCATCCCCCTCCACAAAATCCTCGCCCCGCTTCTCGATCCCATGCGTCCAGTCATACCGCGCCGGCCCACACATCACAATCGTGCTCCTAGGCGGGAGATAAACCGCGTACCTCTCCTCCCTATCCCCCGCCCTTGCGAAGTCCATCACGCACCCGCTGCCCAGACTCACGCCGACGATCGCGTCCCCGAAGCGGTCGAGCAGGTCGACGTGCGGGGTGATGCCCTCGCCGGGGTGGTAGAGATTCACGATCGCCTGCCGTGCGCGGCCGCGCGCGGCGAACAGGAGGTCGTGGGTGTTTGGCGGGAGCGCGGGGCGGAGGAGCGCGGCGAGGTGCGTGAGGAGGGAGGAGAGGAACGGCGGGAGCGAGGAGGAGCCGGCGCGCGCGAATAGCATAGCTTGGTTGACGGAGGGGTGCGTGAAGTAGGTGGACATGCACTGCGTGAAGACGTCCGCGGCGAGGTCGGGCGGGAGCAGGAGGGTGGGGTCGAAGAAGAGCCCCGGGACGGGCGGCGCGGTGCGGCTTGCGGGGCCTACGGTGGTCGCAGTGATGTTGGACGATGCAGCGGTTTCGTCCGAGTCAGACGAGTCGAAGAGGGAGTCGGAGTCGGTGCCTGCCGAGTCTCCTTCGTCCAGGCCGTCCTGCTCGAACGGCGGGAGATCGGCGAAGATGGAAGGGGTGGGCGACGAGGGGTCGTGTTCGCCGCTGCCCAGGATTTCGTGGATCTCCTGCTTCAGCTTCACGTCGGCGTCTGCGGGTATGGAGATGACGAGGCTCATGGTCCGTTTCTTGGGCCCGGTTCCCGGCTCCAGAGCATCTTCGCCATCGTGTCTCGCGGATAGCTTCCGTTTGAGGACATTTCCCGCGTCTACCGATGAAACCGCGCCAGACCGAGAGCTCATACTTAGCTGGCTGAAGAGACCCAAGTGGCAAGAAGCCAGGGTGGTTGGGAAAAGACCCGACCCCCGAGCATGGCTGGCAGAGGAGAGCAGACGCCAAAACGCACGTGCCGCAGCCCCTTCAAGATCGGTCTATTAGCTTACGTAAGCAAAGCACACCTTGCATTTCCCCTGCTTCACCTCTGTGCAAGCTACTGTACCAATGGAGGACACAGTGACGCCCGCTGGGAGACCTATCGTCGACAGGGAGAAGGTGAGCCTGAGGTCTGTCCCTTCGTTGGTGCGTTCTAGGACTCATGCGCTTGTCAGACCGCCCCGTTTCTCATCCGGACGTTCATCAAAATCGGGAGCTTCCACCGCCTGAATGTGTTCGAGGATGGCGCGCTCCCTACGACCGACGAGCAGCAAATCTACACTTGGTTCGTCCAAACCCTTTCCTTCCTTTGCCTGGATTGAAATGAACGTATGAGCGCAGGAAAGACGCGACGCTCGGCGAAGTGCTGACTACGCTGCGCAACACCGCGCCGCAGACGCCCGAATACCGCCACCCGCTGGCGCGCTACTCCTTCCGCGCCGTCTACGCCGATAGCGCCTCGCGCGGGCGCTTCGCGCAGAAAGACCTCGGCATCGTGTACTCGCGCGACATCCTCGGCGAGCCGGGCTCGCTCGACCACCCCGCGCCGCGCCTGACGGAGGACGCGCGCGCGGAGTTGAGCGACCGCGAGAAGGAGGAGCGCACGCTCGACGAGCTGCGCTTCGTGCCCGGCGACTACATGTGCGTCGCGGTGATATTGCCGAAGAACGTGACGGTACCCGGGGCCGGAGGAGAGTTGGCCGTGAAGGGTGCGGGGGCGGCTGCTGCGGCGGCAGCGAATGGGTGGAAGGGCGCGGGCGGGGCGGGGAGAGGGGGCGATGCGGGGTGGGGAGGGTCGTTGGCGCCGGTGGGCGCGGGGCGGGGCGGCGGGCATTGGCGTGGGGAGTCGAATGGGCCGCCGGCGCGCGGCGGGAGAGGGGGCGGTCGTGGGGACTTTGCGAACCGTGATAGGGAGTACGAGGGGCCGAGGGACAGGAGGCCGCCGCCGCCGAGGAGAGGGGAATCGCCGCCCGCGTATCGGGGACGAGGGAGGGGTAGGAGGAGCAGGAGCCGGTCAAGGAGTCCCCCTCCTCACAGGAGAAGATGAAAACTACGGCACATTGCCTTTCATGTTGTTGCTTTCTAGTGTGTCATGTTCGCTTCACCGTTCTGACGATCCTTTATCTGACATCCGCCATGCTCGAGATTTGAAGAATTCAATTCGTCGTGTCGCTCTGCTTTGCAGCGTGTTCTGGATGTACCAGTGTGACAAGGAGTAGGGATTGTCACAGCATATGAAGATCTTAGTCTGAACCTTACCTTGTCGGATGATGCAGCCTGATCCATTTGTCAGGTTTCCTCTCGTCACTCTTGGCTATCCTCGTTAGCCTCAGAATGACGACGGAGCACAGCTTCAATACAACTCGAAAATCATCGATCCTTACTACTGAATTACTGTTCTGCTCTGCCGCGCCACCTTCAAAAATGTTGGCTGGTGATGTGTCAAGGACTATTGCATGCCCATCCTTTATGACGGGTACTATCACTTGACGGCGGTATGGGTCTATCCTCCCAGCAGGTCCGTTACTTGGCTTTCATCGAAATTGGTATCAATGACAAGAGTTATGTTATCTGTTTATACGTACGCTATTGGTCCTGCGATCGTACACCATGTTGAAGTGGACAATGTTCATCTAGCTCGAGTGTGCTATGTACGGTGAGCCGACCAGTCTCCTGTTTCCCAGAACCACTCCCGTTCACACGGGGCACTGCGATCTACATGATTGCATTTACTTCCTGTATTCGTTCACTACTCTCCCCGCGAACGGGCGGGTCGATCAGGCGTGTCCTCTGGATCGCTGAAATCAGTACATTCGTCCTAACATCAGCCGAATTTGGGATTGACATGTTCACGACCGGCAAATACCTCATTACCTACGAATATTACGAGGATGTAGGGTCCAGTGTCCCTTCAAATTTCGTTCGGCCAATTATCTGACAAACATCGTATATCCCAGATTCGTCGGAGACCTGCTGCTGGTGAGGTCGCGCCATGTTTGGGCTCGCACCACGAAATTGTTTACCGGTTCCAAAGGTTTGGAGGTGCTGTATGGTGTGGGATAGGAGGCGGAACTTCATTATCTTTCCTTCCTTTCTCCTTCTCTGCGAGACAGGTAGGCGCTCTGCGCCGTAGCCGAGACGACCGAATCTCTGATGATCCACAGCATTTGGTATCACCTACCTGATTATCCAGGGACGGCAGTACGGTGTAAACATCCACACCCCCTACGGCGGTACATCCCCGCCAGAATGGACCCGACTAGGCAGGATCTAAATACTATATTACGACGTTTGTTACCAATCTTCTGATGACACTGCTTGTCTGTGAGTGTGCAGTTGTTGAGTCCATCCTCGTGTACACCTTGGGCTAACACTTTCGCAGCACTTCGCACCTGGTGGATGGTCCGTGGAATGCGAAGAGAGAGATGGGTGTGGCGTACGGTAAAAAATACTTGTGCGTGATTTACATACTGTGAGGATATGGCAGAGTCATGCAACTGGGAAGCTTCGACTAAAACAATGCATTACCAGGATCGAGTCTGGAGCGCTATACGCGGCCCTTCTATTGCTTTTCATGTCATCGAACGGCAACACCCTCGGGGTAAGTAGGATTCATTTCTTCGGTGTCTTCCAGCGATGCAGTTGGTAACATACTCTGGAAGGACGTGGCTTCAGTCCTTCTCGTCATGAGCACGGTAGGCACCGAGCCTCCGCCTGTCTTTTTATTCCTCGGCTCACCTCCCACAGGGCCTCTTCCCGACTCTCATTGTCATCCTGGTAGCCCTCGGCACGTCGGCTGATATACAACTTCGAGAGACAGGGGGACTGCTGCTCTCACGACCGAAATGCAGTTCACCGGGGCTTGTGGAAGCACCACTGAAGGACATAACATTCCTGCACCTGAGACCCACAGATCGTACTTTGAACTCTGATGTAGAAGAGGGAAATTCCCCATTGCCGTCCGCTGACACCCGCGAGAAGAAAGCTACTCTTGGGCCCTGCTGTGTATGCCTAGGCGAGTACTTGCATTGCGGCGTACATTTTCTCTCAAGGAACAGGGTATGTTGACCAAGAAACGCGCTGTCCGTATTTTGTGATCTATTTTGTCTAGATCAGCCCAAGGCTGGTATACACAAGCGTCTTCGTCAGATGCAGACAATGTTGACGGCTCATGACATAAATAAACCAAGGGCTGGATGTTAAACAAACTTTTGCTGTAATTCTTACTACCGGTCGATAATTTTTTTACAAGGTTACTGGGAAGGAACAGTGCCTGGACAGTTCCGGGCCAGGTGGGGCACAGTCCAACAATTATTTGAATGAGTGTGCGCACACTGTGCGCAGACACCCTCACTTATCCATTTCTCCCGACACCGACTATGTCGAGGTATACGCGACAGAGTTTTGGTCTCCTTGCATCTTCGTATCATTAGGTCGTGGGAAATGCTGAGTACCATCGCCTGATATGGCAGCGCACCTCCTCGATATGGTTATGTATGTCGAAGCACGATGTGGCCAAGTGCCCGTCCAGGCACCTCTGCCATGTGTCAGAACGCATTTTCCGCCAATCCTGAGCGCATAATAAAAGTTGAACAGGGTTCGTGATCCTCACAACCGTCTCTTCGCACCGCTGGCTTCGAGTCATTACCGCGTAGGCCTCGTTCTAATAGACACCCATCTTCTGAGGTCGTCTATTCGCTTGAGTACAACCAAACCAGCGGCTTGTGCTCATGCATGGCTTCTCTCAGAGTCAGAACAATGGACTGTCGAGGTCACTTCGCGGCACTAATACGACTCACTTCACGCCCGCTCTGCAGCGGGCCGACTCGGGGGCAATGTTGAGCTGAAGTCAATTGACCGATCGCGTTTGGTCTATGAATAACGAGGTTCTACCGCGTGTAGTCCGCGTTGTTCAAGTCAGGTCTGTTCCCGCAATCCGGCTATATCATCCCTCTTTCCCCTTCATATAACACCTATCTCGCCAGCATTCACGAACGAACGCCACATTAACGATACTACTCGCTTCCGCATCTACGTTTCTGACGATCACGCTACGACTCACACTCGGTTTGAACATTCTACTAGTATACCAGCCCTTGGATGGGAAACAGCAACTCGCGCTTCCAGCCAGGCCCAGCCCCGGGATATGCGCAAAACCTCCTTTACCAGCAGCCAGGCGAGTACGGCGCGCAGGACGGCGGGCTTTTCGGGCTCGGGCGGCGGAAGAGTGCGCGCGATGGGTACGGGGGTTATGCAGGGTACCCGCAGGCGACCATGCCCCGCCCGATTTATAGCAATGGGTACGTTGCGCAGTACCCGCAGGTGATGGGTGCGTATCCGCAGGCAATTTGTGAGTGCAAGTAGTCTGTCTATCGGAGTGCGTTGCCTGAGGATGTATGTAGATCCACAGATGCAAGCGCAGGCGATGCAGGGAATGCAGTACTATGTGCCCCAGCAGCCGATGGTGATGCCTCAAATGCAGCCACAGGTGGTGATGCCGCAGATGCAGGCGCAGATGCAGCCCGGGATGCAGATGCCTCAACCCCAGGTCCAGATGCAGCAGGCCCAGCAGCAGCAGCAGCAGCCCGTCGTTATCCCCCAGATGATCCCCCAGCAGCAGACGCAGCAAATGACTCAGCAGCAGCAACCAGGGGCCTTCCCTCAACCACACTACCCTAATGGTTACACCGCCGCGCCCGAAAACTCAAACCCGAACCCTAATGCCGACCGACAAAACTCGCCGATGCCCACCCCTCTCCCTCCTGCCCCCGCCGACGCCTTCGGGCCGCCAGGGCCACGACCGCTTACTCCGATCGCGAACCCGCTCCCGAGCCCGCCAAAGGACGTGTACGAGCTCGAGCCGTACAAGAGCATGCTCTCGCGCGACCTGACGGGGACGTGGACGCCGCCGCCGCGCGCGCCCGGCCCCGAGTTCAGCGGGACGAGCGACGAGAGCGGGTCGGAGGGGCGCCCGCGGCGGAAGAAGAAGAAGAAGGGGTTCTTTGGGAGCTTGCGGAGGAAGGAGAAGGATAAGCGGGGCGGGCTGTTTAGGGGCTGGACGGGGAGGGAGAGGGCGGACGAGGGGATGCCGAGTATGGCTGCGTTGATGGACGGGCCGATTCCGCCTGTGATCCCTGCGCCGACGCCGGGGCCGTCGAACGCGATGCCCATGCCGCAGATGTTCACGCCGAACGGGCAGGCGCAGGCGCAGGCGCAGCTCTCGCCGAACCCGAACGGGGCTCGTCGGGCACGCCGTCGCCCGCGCAGCCGATCCGGTTCAATATCCACACGGAGCTGGCGGGGTTCCTGCCGCACTCGGAGCACCGCGTGCTGTTCAACGGGGCGCTGTACCCGAGCGCGTTCCACCTGTTTGAGGCGCTCAAGTTTCTGAAGAACGGAAGGGAGGACGTTGCGGAGAGGATACGGACGTGCGAGAACCCGGCGGAGGTGCACCCGCTGTCGGAGAGCCTGAAGGAGTTTGCGAGACAGGGATTTGAGCGGGAGCTGGTGGGATATGTGAGTGTGTGTTAGTGTATGTTAGAGGCGAGGCTGATGGTGCCGTAGATGGAGGAGGCGCTGTATGCAAAGTTCACGCAGCACCCCGAGCTGAGGGAGTTGCTGCTGAGCACAGGCGTGGCGGACCTGATCTACGCGGAGGCGAGCGACCCGGTGTGGGGGGAGGGCCCGCTGGGGCAGGGGATGAACCATCTGGGAAGGGCGCTAATGGCGCTGCGGGAGCGGCTGAGGCAGGAGATGGGGGCGGCGTCGTAGAGCGGTGAGAACACTTGACAGGAGGGATTTGCTTGCATCTATCCAAGTAATTTATTGGGATGGTAGATATCGCTTGCATGTTGTTGCTTTGTACTATAGCTCTGCTTTCGTTGTGTATTGTAGATTTCGTTCTGAATCTGTTGTCTTGTTGACTTGGTGAACTGTCGAGATCTGTGTGTCGCCGATCAGTGCGGTGGCGCGTCCAACTTGGCGTCCCACCTTCATCATGGCCGAGTCCTCCAGCTTGCCTTTCGTACCGCGCAAAGTTGCAAGGGCGGCACGGACTACGAAAGAGCCTGCACGGGCTAGCGGATCGACTAATACGACTGTTGGTACAAATACAAACTCGGGCACCCCCAATGCAACAAAGCCCAAGGACTCGGACGTCGATCACGACTCCGCGAATGCCAAAGGGAAGCAAAAGGCGCTCGCGGACGAGGACTGCGCGACGCTCGTCGAGCTCGCCCTGTCCGACTACGCGCTCTGGGCGGACCCGGACCTGCGCATGGCGGTGGAGACGAGTGAGGAAGGATGTACGTCCTTCCATTCCTCTCCTCACCCCTACCTGCCTTCCCCCACTGCCTCGCACGCATAACGCTGATGCTGACCTAGTCGTCCCGCTAAGCACCCTCCTGCCCGCCTCGACCCGCGCTGCGTGCCTGGGCCAAGTCCCCGGCGAAGCCGCGCTCGCGAAAGCGGTGCGGCAGCTGGCGGGGGAGCGGCTGGAGGTGCGCATGGTCGTGCGCGAGCCCGTCAGGGGCGCGTGGTACGGCCGGCGCGTGTCGGGCGGGGGCGCGGGCGCGGGCGGGGGATACGAAGTGCGCAGGCGCGACTGGGCGGCGCTGAAGGGCAGGCAGGGGCCGACGAAAGAGGGGTGGGACGCATGCGCCGTGTACGTGGTATGTGCCGCCCGCGCTTGCGCTTGCCCTTGGTCGCTCTCTCCGGGCGGGTGCTGACGGAGCCGCAACAGGAGAACATCCCGGCGGGGCACCGCGTGCTCCCCGCCACCGCCCGCTTCGTCTCTGCGCTGCTCGCGGCGAACGCGGGGGCGGTGCAGCACGTCGCCCTGCCCGATGCGACCCGCAGTGCGGGCGCGGGCGCGAATGCGAAGGGGCGGGGCTTCGCGCTCGTCACGCTCTCCTCCGCGGAGCTCGCGCAGGCGCTCGTGCGGGCATGGCCGTGGGCGGCAGGCGGGGAGGGACGAGAGACGCGGGGAGCAGAGCAGAAGGACGCGCGCCGGCACGGGCTGCGGTGCCTCCCGAAGAAGAGGTGGGAGGCGCTGCACGAGGAGTACGCGGCGTACCGGGCGCGGCTGCTCGCGCGCGCGGGGCCTCCTCTGGGAGGAGAGGATCGGCGTTATGACACTGATCAGGAGCGGGAGAGGTCTGTGCCTCCTTCGAAGGCAGCCCCCGTGAGACCTCCGTCTCCCCAGCCCGCGTGCGACTTCCCCGAAGGGTGCCTCGTCTTCGTGCGCGGCGTTGACCCAGGGACGAACAAGACCGCGTTGCGCGCGCTGTTCGCTGCTGCCGTGGGCGAGGATGGGATCGACTACGTGGATTTCCAGAAGGGGATGGATATGGTGCGTTTCGTTTTTTTTCCCCTGCTTACTATGTCCTACGATATGCTACTTCAGTGCTACCTCCGCCTAAAGACGCCTGCGCATGCAGCCGCGTTGGTGGACCGCTTTTCAGAAGGAGGGGAGGGGGTGAAGGCGGAGATGGTGGAGGGTACGAGGGAGGCGGTGTATTGGGGGCAAGTGCCGGAGAAGGTGAGGAGGGAAGCGGTGGCTAGGGCTGCTGGGGTGACAGATGAGGGGCAAGAGCAGGAGGGTGAGGGGAGGAAGAGGAAGAGGAGGAGGAAGTAAGCGGGTGGTATCACTTTACCTTCATGTTCTACCTATCAGCATGTCGGTCCATCCCGAATCATTCTCGACGAATCAGTGCACGCAGGACTGCACTGGATATCCTTACTTGGCCATGTTGTCTACTGACACCACACGAAAAAATACGCCACTCCGAGTAACATTCAGAAGAGGACCCCCGACCGCGTATGTGCATGGCAAGACGAGTGACGAGGGGCACCTCCGCCTCGTCGTCCGTCCTCACCTGCTTGACCATATTCGCGCAGAGGGTCCGCCAGAGTCAAGTGTTGTATCTACTGTAAATCTCCAGACCACACAGGCAAGAGTACGGAGGCGTTCCGATCCCATGAAAAGTCCAGACAGCTGCCCTCACAGGCCCGCGTGAGCGAAATATGTTTTCACGCAGGACTGCGGGGCTGGTTGCCCGTTGTGCTGAGAGGGAGGAAGTGGGAAGGCTGCGTACATGATTTACCGCGTCGCGTGCTGGGCGGGAGATGACACCGGAGAGCGAGGGTGACCATGATGGATTTTGTCGGGACCATGGTTCAGGGAACGCTAGGCAGCAGAGTGTGCGAGCACGATACTACGCCGGTATATAAGAACCATGTTCGCTATGGGACGAGTCAACGGTCACACCAAGCAAAGGCTAGAGGAGCACGCAGACTGCTGTCAATTTCATCCCGCACGCCGTGGTATTCACCGCAGAGTAGCATACCCTTGCCGTTGCGAGTGGTGATTGCGGCGGTACGGAAGGAGCATGAGAGCAAGGAGACCGCAGCTGGGGGGGATCGAGACCCTACTGCGTGGTGGCTCAGTGCACAGCGATTGTCAGTCTGAGACGGAGCAGTATAAAGCATAGTGGATGTTGAGGAGCAGGGAATGTAGAGGCAGTCACTCATTGGGGGTGTGAGCGACGTTGGCCCGTGCCCTGAAGGATACAGGCAGCAGATTGCCCGTGATCCGATAATCCCAGTCGACTTGGAGTTCAGCAACGTGTTTGGAAAGACGAATCGAAGCGACGCGAGTCGGGAATAGTACTGACAGGAGGTGCTCCGGTTGCAAATTACACGCCGTCATCCAGCCAGCCCCGCGGTTACTGCGCGGGGGCAGAAACGCAGCGAGGGCCGTTGTGCGGGCTGTCTGGGTGTTGCTTGGATTCGTCATTGCACCTCTGAGGGTACGCGCAGGGCGGGGCTCGTGGACCGACCTGCACCCACTGGACCTTCAGTGGATAGGAGGAGGACAACAAGCGGCGCCGGGCGGGCATGAGGGGGAGGATTTACAGTGCTTTGCATAAAAGTCCGGAAACCGCGATTCGCGAAATGTTGTTTGTGCCAGCCAAACAAACCTATATGGGGTAGTCGATCACCGTAGCGCGGGCTGTTGACTGGTTGGCGGGACGCTTCGACATCCATGTATGAGGGTCGGTCTTGGGGGATTTTAACCTCTGCGTGCTCGATATCCTGAAGAGATACAGATCTGAACGTTATTCAGCCTTGAGACGGGCATTTGTGTCCCAGGAGTGATATAGGCTGACTCGAGGACCGTCGCGCCCTCGGTCAGGTGTTACCCTATAAGGTGTTGTTTGGCTGGGACAAACAGAAACGCGCGAAACACAGTTTCCGGACTTTTATGCAAAGCACTGTAAAGGAGTGGACGAAAGCGAAGGGACAAAGCAAGAGGGGGACATGGCAACCACGTGGCTCGTATGTCTAGATCTCCAGATCTACGCACACCTGCCTTTCTAATCGCTCCTATGTTATTCTTGTTCTATCATGACCCAGCTATTCCTGCCTCACGCCCAAGGCTCCCGCCCATCACCGGCGCGGACACCCCGGACGGACCAGAGCCCAGCCGTTCCGCAGCGGGCTCTTGGTCTCTTCCATGTTCAAGCCATCTGTCTTTGCAAGACGCGTGTGCGTTCGTCCGCTTAGACCCGGCGTGCGCGTACGGGGGACCAGCACCGGTGCCCCCAATCCAGCAGAGCAAGTCCCGAGGGAGCGCGCGCTCTGGGCTGCGAGCCTCGTCGTGGTCACGGGCATCCTCGGGTGGCACCAGCTCGTCAAGTGCGTGCGGGTATGTACCACCCATGCACTCGGGAGGAGGACGCTTCCACAACTGCTCACCGCAGGCCAACGCCCCCCCGCCGGGCTACGCCTCCCCGCACGACCTCGCGCTCGCCCTCCGCGTGCTGGACGAACTCTCCCTCCGCATCGTCTCCACCGACCCCGCGACGCTGCGCGACTACCCCGGCCATGCCGCGCTCGTGCGCCCGCGCAGCACCGAGGACGTCGTCCGGATCGTGACCGTCGCGAACGCATTTCGGGTCCCGCTCGTGCCGTGGGGCGGGGGGACGAGCCTGGAGGGGCAGGTAGCGGGCGTGAGTACCTGCCACTGCGTGCGCCAAGTGCTTGCTCCAATAGTGATTAGTATGAAGGGCGGAGTATATGTGTCGATATGAGCGGGATGGATCAGATCCTCGAGATCCACGGTCAGCCGTCGCGTTTCTCCCCAAAGGCGAAGCCGCACGCTGATCGCGAGAAGAGGACGACGGCGACCTGGTCTGCCAGGCGGGCGCGACATGGGACGGCATCAACGAGACGCTCCGCGCAAAGGGCGTCCCGCTCTTCTTCCCGGTGCGTCATTCGTCTTCGCATCCGCCGGTGTCTACACTATGGTTCATCTACCCGAGGACAGCTGGACCCAGGCCCCGGCGCGGTAAGCATAGATTCGACTATCTCCCACTGGTAACATGCTGTAATGGACGGCGTAGACTATCGGGGGGATGATCGCCACCGGGTGCTCAGGCAGTACGTCTGCGCCTACGCTCGTCCTCCCCTCCCCGTCCCTTCTACCCCTCACACCACGCTGCAGCGAACGCGGTCAGGTACGGCACCGCGCGCGGCGAGTGGTTCCTCAACGTCGTGCGTCCCTTCTCTCCCCTCTCCTTCCCATCACCAAATAACACGCGCATCAGACTGTCGTCCTCCCCGACGCCTCGGTCATCAAAACCCGCCGGCGCGCGCGCAAGTCCGCGGCGGGGTTCGACCTGACGCGGCTGTTCGTCGGTGCGGAGGGGACGTTGGGGATCGTCACTGAGGGTGCGTCCCCTCCCTTCTCCCCGCCTCTTTCTCTCCCCTTCTCTTGCTCCTTTCCTCTTCTCTCCCTTTGCCGCCCGCCCCCGCGCGTCTCTGTCCAGATGTCCAGTGCTAACCAGGGGCGACACGGAACGAACAGCGACGCTCCGCCTCGCGCCGGTGCTCCCGACGCGCGTCGCGCTCGCGCAGTTCGCGGACGTGGACGGCGCGGTCGGCGCCGTGCAGGCGGTGCTCAATTCGCCGTGGGGCGCGCATTTGCGTAGGTGTCCGTCTCTGTCGTCGTCCGCTCATCATGATTCGTCGCATCGCTGATCGCGTGCTGCATGTGGATCGGTGTCGGTGGATGCGGGGTGGGGGTGTAGAGTGCGTGGAGCTGATGGACGACAACAGTCAGTACGCCCCGCGCGTCGTTCGGGAGGACCCGCGGACGCTGATCCACGTGTACGCATGCGCAGTGATCAGAGCGCTCAACGCCTCCTCCTCCCCCTCCGCGGCCAACTACCCCGCGCTCGACACCCTCCTCTTCAAACTCCAAGGCCCCCCGGCCTTCATCTGCGCCACCGCATCGCACATCCGAGCCACCGTCGCCGCGCACGGGTGCACCCACTTCCAATTCGCGCAGAGCGAGGAGGCGGCCGCGCGGATGTGGGCGGAGCGCAAGCACGCGTTGGGCGCGGCGCGCGCGTGGGTGCCGGGGGCGCGCGGGGTGGGCACGGATGTGTGGTGCGTCGCGTCGCGCGGCGTGAATGGCTGCTGATGGGGGGTGGGTAGCGTGCCGCCTTCGAACCTACCCCGCTTGGTGGGCGAGACGAAGCGCGACCTCGCGCGCGCGGGGATTACAACTTCGATCGTCGGGCACGTGGGCGACGGTGCGTCTGCGTTCACACTGGCGAGCGTGATGAGACGGTGTGATGATGGGTAGGCAATTTCCACGCGATGCTGTACTACAAGAACGAGGAGGAGCGCAAGGCTGTGCAGGAGGCCGCGGGGCGGCTGGTTGAGCGCGCGTGGAGCCTGGGCGGGACGTGTGCGTAGCAGCACTCGGGTTCGGGCCCGCAGTCCATGCTTACCGGATGTGTGTGGATGGGATTTACCGCAGGCACGGGCGAGCACGGCGTCGGCACCGGCAAAAAAGCGTACCTCGAGGCGGAGCTGGGCGAGGGCACCGTCGCGCTGATGAGGGCGGTGAAGAAGGCCGTGGACCCGAAGGGGATTATGAACCCGGGGAAGGTGAGCTCGTGCCACGGTATTTGTGGGTTCGCCGTGTGCGGATTTGGTGCTGACGGTGTGTTTGTCAAGCTGTACCCGGACGAACGGCGTGCGAGGGGGGGGGGGGGAGGATCGTGCGTGACGTTCCTGAGAGGTGGTAGATTTGGAGCGGTGGCTCGTCGCGGGTCATTGCTGGCATCGCAGTAACGTGTTTCAAACCAACTGTTATTGATATATACTGCTGTGCGTTACTTGCAGAGATGAGGTGTGGGGTGGTCAGCATACTTTTGGGCAGCAAGTAGGCAGAGTTCCACGTAACCGGGGGGTCAATCTACGCGCGCCTTGGACCGCGATACGTTGCCTATAGCCCCAGGACAACCAAACAATCGTCTTGGTAGCAGTCAGCTTACAACACCTCTCTATGTCAGGCTTCCGCCGGGGGATCACCCTGCACCTGCCTTGCAGCAGGCTCATGAAGCATGTCATCGCGTTATTCCGGACAATCGGAGATCATGCGGTCTCTGGCGCAGGATATCTATGCCAGCTTCAAAAATCAGATAAACTTGGGGGATGACGAGCTTGAGTTCGGTAGAACTCAAGACGCCGGTAGAGCCCTTCAATGCTCGGACTAGCTATATATAACACCCAGAACAAACAGCCTTACTGGAGACATGTGAACGTGATGCGTAATACCCTGACAAGTGGTGATAATAATCCCGGGCTGTGAGTTTGACTTCGCTCCTTCGTGTCAAGTTTAGTTTGCCCGTACTTACTGATGAGGGTGGCGGGAATGTCGGCTCACACGCTCGACCCGAGAGCCATGTACAGCTGCCACAGCGATAACTTGAACCTTGGTCAAGTTCATTCCGATAGGATAAACTCTATCATATTCGTATGCTCTAGCTTCCGGGCTACCAAATATCGACCGACACTCGTCCTAGTCTACTTGGGGCGATGTGATGGCTCATGGCATGATGCCAGCATTTATACTTGCATCCACTGAGTTGTGCATTTGCACGCATGTCCCCGTCATGATCGCGCTTTCGAGCCCTCTGGCCTCTACTTCACGGGTGCGTCCTTATGCGCCGCCCCACCTCTCGAAACTCATCATCTTACGCTACTAGTATCGGACACACAGCGCATTGGACAATCTCCTCAGTCCTGTCCGTTAGATATCTGATGGTCATCGAACTCTAAATGAGTTCTGCGACTTCCAGCGGCAAACTCGCCGCTGGATCGCCTTCGGCGAGCTTCCATGTACGCCATGCAAGTGTAAGAATACTCGTCAAGCAGTTCTATTCAGAGATGCACCCCGAAATCAGTTTGTTGCGCCCCAAGCAAAGTTCTAGACAGGAACATATAAAGAACCATGTTCCAAGTCTACACCGCTCTCCCCTCTATACATACTCCCTACACTGGGGAGGGAATTGGAAGCCCGTTCTTCGCTCGCGGAAAATGGCTCCCAATCTCCCGATCGACGAAGCCCACTTGGTGGCATCGTTCATGGAAGACGTTGCGTATGGTACGTAGCTGTATTCACGCCCGCGCTGTGAACACGCAGCCAACTGCCAGGAACAACACAAGGGATATTTCTGGTGTCGTTCGGTTTCTGTATCCGCGTGCTCCTGTTCACGAAGGCCGGCACGTTGAAACAGACGAAGCGAATCAACTGGCCCGTGCTTGCCGCCACGCTGCTCATGGCCACCTTCGCGACGCTCAACGGTATGCAGTTTCCTTGCCTGCGGAGACACCGTTGTGATTAGTAGTTGACATGACACTGTATAGTCTCTTTCGACCTGCGGTTCAACATCGTGTCTTTCGTGCTCTACACCGGACCTGGCGGCGCCAAGGTCGCGTTTTCCAGGATCGGGGAGTGGGTCAACGTCATGAAATCGGTGGACTACGTCGTGCAGACGCTCATCGGCGACGGCATGCTGGTACGGCCTACATATATATATATCTACTAGCGAATTAGCACTGAGCAGGCCCTGTCAGATGTACCGCACGTACTTTGTATACAACAAGGACTGGCGGGTCGTCGCGTTCCCGATGCTCATGTGGGCAGGATGCATAGGTACGCACTTGCGAGCGTTGCAGGTCACCAATAACGTCCTCCAGCGGCCGGCGTCTGCGTCGCGTGGGTCGAGATTATGCTCCATAACGGCGCGACGCTCACGGAATCGAGGCTGACGCACGTCATCACCGCGTTCCTCGCGCTCACGCTGATCCTCAACCTCATATGCACCTGTGCGCCGCCCCGCAGCCCTCGTGGTTCTCGCGACGATATGCTGATGTTGATGGCTGCAGCGCTCATTGTGTACAGGCTGTGGAGGATCCACTCGCAGGTCGCTCCCACCCTGGCGCGGCCGAGCACGACGGCCCACGCCATCCGCGTGATCGTCGACTCCGGGCTGATCTACACGACATGGGTGGTCATGTTCTTCGGAACGTCCCTGGCACACAGCAACGGCCAATACGGAGTGTCCGAGACGGTATGCACCCTCTCTGCCGGTCTGATCGACGGGGACGCTGACGCGTGTTGCGCAGGTTGTCCAAGTTATCGTCAGTCCCGCGTCTCCTTGCTACGGATAAGTAATGTGAATGCTGACGGCCACGTACATGATATGCCCCGCGCAGCCGATCACGTTCAACCTCATCACGATCCGTGTCGGCCGCGGCATCGCGACGGGCGTGCCGAGCACCGTGCTACAGCCGGCGAACAGGATACCGCTGCGGATCGTGAAGGAGGAGAGTCAGTACAGGCACACGGACATGTCCGGCGGCGAGGAGGCGGCCGAGGGGACGGCGGCGTTCGCGGATGTGTCGGGCAAGCGGGAAGCGGCGTCGGTGTGTACTGTCTGAGACGTGGGTCGCCTGTCGGGAGGGCCCCCCTTAATTAGTACTAGCAGCGGCACCTGTGGTCACCACAGGGAGCCAGCAGGTTAGGTTTATAATAATATCTATTCTGTGCGATACATGTGACTGGTTAACATAAGATGAGATTACATTAAGATTGTTATGATGGGCTGTGAATTCTGTTAGTATAGGTGTGTTGTGGGGTGAATGGATATATACTCATTCAAGGAGGACTTCAGGGTATACTATATTCCTGGTAGCTGTAGAGGTAGAATTTGATGGGAATAGAACTTTGATACGGTGCTTTGAAGTAACACGGGACAAAGCGACATAGAGTTGTCCATGAGTGAAGACTGGCGTGCATAGGTCAAGGCCTACATTGCTGACTGATTGTCCTTGTGCCTTATTGATAGTCATTGCAAATGCTACACGCACTGGAAATTACTTTCGGCGAAGTTCAAAGGCCAGATCAGTATCAGCTTCACTAGCTGAGCATGTAATCCTTGGAATGAAGACTCTTTTGCCATGATGTTCACCTCCCAACAGCTCGACCTCCAGTACTCAGGGCCAATGGGCAGCACCTGCGGTAATTGAGGTGGGGCAGCATAAAGTCAGGTGGTACCTGCAATGGCTGTAGGACATAAGCGGCATTCTCAGAATTAGGAACATGTTGCAGTCCATGCTCCCTTGCACTCCTGTTACCATGAATAGGCCGTAGATCACTCCATAGAGTATCTGCTGCACGGTGAATCTGGGACAGTGTGTGGGGCTGTGCCATTAATGCTCAGCTTGTGTAGATGTAGGGATACAGAGATTAAGTACTCACAGGATTCTGAACATTAGATGGTCCTGCAATTGGTTCAGAATCAGGCTGATGTCTTCTTCGCCTTCCTGGCCCTTGAGGTAGAGGGCCTACAGCAGCCAGCTGTTGAGCCAGGTGAGGTGGCATCTATGTGATCGTAGCGGCGCAAGCGCCAATCCCCGACTCCAGTCAGAAACCATTAAGTATTCCAGTACTAGTGTGTGGTCAAGCTGCGGAATGCCACTCTTGACAGACACATACACAGTATTCATATAGTCCTGTTTTATATCTACATCAGTATTTAAAGGGGCTTCCTCGAGTTACCGGTTCCCGCTCAGAGATACTAGTCTCATCCATTGGCCTCACTTGTTTGAATGCATTCTTTTATCAAAGCTATGCACTTGCATCACTTGATCGTTCATGTTAGGTGTGTGCGGGCAGTTGTCTTCAAGTTGAAACGAAAGTGGCATCGGTCTGGTTGGGACTGTTGCTTACATGAGGTTCTCACGGCGAGAGCGAGTTGTATGGTGGAGCGACCATTTCTTCCCGACAGAACCCTCCTCCCAACTACCGTGGGAGTCGGGGATGCTGCAGTTTGGTTCCCGAACATGGGAGAACCGGTTCGAACCCCGAAGCGGACTCAGGTTCTGGTCTGCGGTCCAACTTTCGTGAGGACCGAACCTGAAATGAGGTTCAGAGGGTGCCAGGCACCCGAACCTTATCCAAATATAGCAACTTTTAGTGGTTCGAACCAGAACCTGACTGGACACAACACCATTTCAGGTTCTTTGAGGTTCAAGGTCCGGGAAATCACCTGAACCGGACCTGTGGTCCGGTCCCAGGTTCCAAATTTTTGGCCGATAACCGGACCAAGCCGGGCCGCGGCATCACTAGTGGGTGTCAGGAAAACTGCATTCTGCCCTGACAGGTACTGACAGACCTTCGTCAGGGTTTATCAGGGTTTATCAGGGCATCAGTTGTCAGAAGGCATTCTTGACCCTGTCAGGTCAAGTTTCGTGAGGACTGGCCTGCCGCAAGGAGACATCTGTCTGAGGGATGGAGTATCTAGACTTCAGGTATATTGATATAACTTCTGTTTTACCACCCCAGTTGGCCACTGGAGCATAACTAGTGTTCAGTACATGAGGCACACAAATGGCCCAGATTCTGTCAGGGCTGTCAGTCCATCAGGAATGTGCAATTTACCTGATGGGCAAGTGATTATAGCTCTGTCCATTAAATGTGACAGGTGCAGGTAGAGCCTGCTGCGGAATTGCAATTGGGTCATCACCTTGTGGAGAAATATTTGAAGGACCTGCTATGCCTGGTAGTGCAAAGGGAACATGAGCAACAGGCTGTTGCTTGGGCATACGGTGATAAGCCTCCACGATTGTCTGACCTCGGAAATCACGGAATCGATGCTTCCTCCACACCATACAGAGTCTATTCAACACCTCTCTCACACACCGCTAGGGTGTGACTGGCTTACTACAATGGTTCGATTTAAATCTGGGCCTTCTAGCATCCTCGAGGCAAGTGCGAATTCCTACGAGGATTTAGCTCTGAGGTCAGGCACTCCGGAGTGGCTCAAGAAGTAACTTCAGCATGAATTACCTCTGGCAGTCGCGGACACCTGTCTGATTGTGAGTCGTCCTCATGCCCAGCTTCCAGTACTTCCTCCCCTTCATCTCCGTCAAATTACCAAGCTTGCAGGCTTAAATCCATGACCATGAGGCCAGCATCAGTCAGCAAGTGGCCGGAGTTAATTCACATGTGACTAGCATGCTGTGCAGCATGATGGGAAGGCTGAGGATAAGCACTAACATATCAGGACAACCTCTAGGGGGATAGGATGAGCATATGGAGGGACTAGGTAGTCGTATGGTGCATGGTATAGCGGCGGACAGGTGCTGAGCAGTCAAGGGAGTTGCAGCGAGTACTTGTTATTTATCTTCGGGCGGTCGCAGGGTCATTGCTGTAGTATAAAATGTATGATGTAAAGAAAAGTAAAAACAAGTTTGATCTTCACCATCTCAGTGTATCAGAGTTACCATCTCACCGACCCTTGAAGTTCCAAGCGTAGAACTTAGTGATTTATGACCGATCCTGGCTTTGCCAATAGGCCTGACTTGTAGATTGAATTATCTCTGCCATCGAAATTTTATCTCTTGTCAGTATTACATTGTGAAATAAAATTCACCAAGTCTCTCTAGCAATTTCTATCCCGCAAGCACGATCCTACGCTAGGTGTCTGTGCTTGCGACCTTTGTTTATTTTCGATTCTTTGGAGATAAATACTCCGGAGCTTCAATTAGTGTTTGTTTCAGGTGTCAAGGCTTTGTTTTATTTTTCTAGGTCTTCCTACGGACTACCCTACATCGTCTTACTCCTCCTTTCCCCCTCGAACTACTTTATACCCTTCAGTTGTCTCCCATACTGCTGGGTGTGTTAGGTTATTTCCCCTTGGTCTTTGGTGTCTGTTGTGTGTCAGTGCATATCAACGGCGTATTTCTGGACTGCCCATTGTACGTTGGTCCCACTCTTGCTGATGGGCATCATCTCTCTCATGCTGAGGAGTATTGGGTGGTGTCTGCTGATTACTGGACCTAATAGACAATTTTCCATGAATTTATAAGGTACTATCACATTTATAACATAATTTCTTACCTGTTATCCATGAGTCAGTGACGCAATGATCAAGTCCATTCCATGCTTACGTAATGTAGTCTAGATAGTCGCGCTGCTGTAGTTTGTAGACTTTGTCTTGCCAATGCCAGTAATCGACACCTTTCTGTACATTCCTGTTCGTCTGCGCCTCATTTGCCACGTGTTCTGGTCCTAGGTGTTTGGGTGCAGTCCTTGCAACCACCGTGCCCATTACAGTTTGGCAAGACCCCAAACCAAATTGTCACGCTCGAATTGATCACTCGAGGTGCACGCGTTCTCATTCACATCTTGGGTGCTATCGTTCGTGGCCCCTCAAGTTGGAGTCATGTAGGATTGGATCTTAGGTCATGGGTAGGCTGTTGTTGCCAGGTTGAAGAAGATCTTTTGGTGTCCAGGGGTTGCCCATTTCATCCCCCCTGTGGTCATCAATGTTGTGCATCTCCCGCCTTCGGCTCGATACATCTGCGTCACGTTCGGTCGATCATCTCCCTCATCACCATACATTGTCTTCACTACCCTCATCCATCCTCACCTTGCCATGCCATCATCCCCCGCATGTCAACCCACCTCTGCTCTCGTTTCCAGTCCCTTGTTCTCGGCTGCGGCCAGAACCCTCTTGTCAGACCCTCGTGTCCTTTTTGGTGGTCTCAACGGCTTTGGTCAGACCTGTTATGATTTTCCCATGCCTATCTCATTCCATTTCCATTCCAAGCATTGCCATTGGACAGTACCTTTCTCTGATTACAACTTCTCATGGACACTATCTCTTTTCACACGTTATCTCTCTTGACTCACCTTCTACCAATGGGCGCCCTTGTATTTCTCATTCCTCTGAGTTATGTTCTCACAGGATAGCTTACACATCCTTTCTTATTGTTCTCTTCTTTGGGTATTAACCCCTATACCGATTACTATATATACTGTAGGAAAATCCATGTTCAACCTCCTGTTGAATACAGTGATTACCTGGACTCTTGACTTGACCGTTGGCATTGGCCCGGCCAGACCTACCTTTCAGTATGCTTACTGAGGTAGTGTCAACATAACTGTTGGCACATGGCCCAGTTATCTCAAGACAACTAGTTAGGACATTGCTTCCTAACACAAGAACTCAGGGTAATTCACTGAGCTCTAAGAGTTATGTTTCAGCGTCAGCGCCGTGTCATGGATGTATGAGAAGGATGGCTGGTGAATGAATCCCTGAGGTAGTGCATGGGCTCCAACGTGCAAAGCTCGACTTGAGCAAACATGGAAGGTGAGTTGTGCCCGTCGAATTTGAAGATGTGTCCGCTGGGAGGGGCCCCGCCGGTGCAGTGATATGCACTGACGCACAACAATCACCAACGACCAAAAGAAAATAAACCTAGACCCCGTGATATGGGTGAAGGCGGTCCAAGGCAACTGAGGGGTATTTTAATAGTTCGAGGGGGAAGGAGGAGTAAGACGACATAGGGTAGTCCGTAGGAAGACCTAGAAAAATAAAACAAACACTTTGACACCTGAAACAAACACTAGTTGATGCTCCGGAGTATTTATCTCTGAAAAGCCGCAATCAAAGTTGCAAGCGACAACACCTGTCGTAGGATCATGCTCGCGGGGGTAGAAATTGCTAGAGAGACTTGGTTAATTTTATTTCACTACGTAGGACACACCGGAGATAATAAATCAACGGCGGAGATAAATCATTTCAACGAGTCAGGCCTATTGGCAAAGCTAGGATCGGTTATAATTTGCTAAGTTCGATGCTTTCGAACTTCGAGGGTCGCTGAGATTGTAACACTAATTCTCTGAGATGGTGAAGTGCAAAACTTATTTTTCTGTACACTACTTTGTACAATTTATACTACAGGAATGGCTTTGCGACCATCCGGAGATAAATAACAAATAAAGATGTGCCTCTCCCTAAATAATGCTGCCTTGGTGATTACTATTTTTTACACTGCATAGGTCGGGATATGTGATCATGTATAGGACATTGGGATAGGTGTCATTACAACATAATATAATATATATATATTCATTTTCCGGGGCACCACTCATCACTACACCGATGGACAATAATATGGGTAATTACCTGCACGCCTTCAATTTCTCAAGCATATAGAAATATAAGTGATGGTACTGGAAACATCTTTACCTCCGTCGCGCAATAACCATGGCGGTATATACACAGCAGATGTATCGCAGCCATCCTCGGAGACAGCTGAGAGAGCTCCTGACTCCTCTGGCCAATCAGAGCAAGAATAGGAATCTGTCGCAGTTTATTGATGTTACAGAACAGCCGTTTGGTCTCACAGGACATCTGGGGCTAGGCAAAAACCTATTTACAATACCCCCCAATACTTCCAAACCGCCCCGAGTGACATATCTGCAGATATGAAGGCCGCTGCTGTTTGGTGCGATTGTACACTCGTTGCGCATTAAGACTCTGTCCTGCATAGTGTACATTACGTGGTATCAAGTGTGTTCTGTCATGATTTTGCAGGAA